GCTCACTTAAGCGAGATTTGCTAATTTTGAGGATTTTGCTTCTCTTCTTTTCAAACTTCATTTCACCACGCCTTGCCTCTTAATATTTAGCACAATAACAAAGGATCAAATACCTTCATATGATCATATATTTAAGGCAGATAATTACTAAATTCAAGTGGCTAAAGTTCAAAAGGCATGAAATGTAAATGCATTGAATTAAAAGGAAATTTAAGCATAAAATAATTAAAAAAGAATCAAATAAGTATCAAATTATATAGCAAAAACTACTACCAATTCGTACTTATCAAGACTCCTGACTATACCTGTTATGAAGGTCATATAACGCACATGTTGTATTTGTGAGTGGTGGCTAATTGGCGACTATCCATGCTGGCATAAGTCTTTCATGATTAGGAAGGGCATGTTGGCAGTGATGTAAGGGCCCGTGAGTACCTAGAGTACTATTATTTGGTGAATCTTTCAAAATTAAAATAAATAAAGTGGCATGAACTCAAGGATTGAATGATTGTATTTGATTAAGTGTATAATGATTGTACAAATGATTTTTCTCTAGTTAGAATTTTAAAAAAATAAATTGTTTCTATGTTGATGCATAATGTATTAGAAAATATTTTCTGCATTACTTTGATTGTGTTATAAAATAAAAATTTAGTGGACAGATGATGCTCATTCTTATAAACATTTCTAGATAATGAAGAGTTAAAAGAAGATAGACCTGTCTTAGGATTATACTCGCAGGGGATTGTAAGGAAGAAAACTGCTCTGTTAGGATTTAGTATTGTTTTGAGGAATGTAATAATATTAATTAAATTTATTTTTAGAATTCATAATATTTTAATAAACTCTAATATAAATGATGATTTAAAGTGTATGTATAATACTTTGTAGTTAATTACTTTAAATTTTAACTTATACCAACTTCCGTTAGAAATTTGATTTACTAAAAGACAATTTTAGTTGTATTATAACTTATGCTATAAATTTTAATTGATATCATGAAATTTCAGCTTTCGCTTTAATTATAAATTTAAATTATAAAAATTCATTCTTATCATTCCTATGAATAAGATTCATTTATATGTAGTTTTAATTGGTTAACTTTTAATAGTTTAGATTCATATACATGTCAAATTTTTCAAAACTATCAAAGCCCTTTTTACTATTTCAATTAAGTTTTATTTAGAAATACATATATAATACAAAGGAAATTATTTAAAACATAAAAAGGATGTTACAAATATAACAACTTATGACTATTATAATCATGGATTAATAGTTTAAGAAAATGTGGTAATGCAAATAATATTGCTTGTTGGTACCATAGAATATACTTTCTCTTTTAATCATATTGGCTTGATTCTTTTCTAAACATTTCTAATGTTAAACATCATACAAGTTATATGTCATTGCATATGTTAGATTACCCTTCAGAGTTAGTATATATACGTGATATTTTTTTATTATCAAGTAGTTAACCTTTATAATGAACTAACTAACGTTTGATTTATGTGAACATTTAGTACAAGTAAAGTAATAGAGTGAAGTTTGTTTTCTGAAATGTTTAATAGTATTTTGCAATCAAACCTTTGAATACTTTTTTTTTATACTTGAATACTACACACTTTTAGCATATGATTAACAAAATAATAGTCTTTTTAGTCTTAAATTTGAAAGGAGATGACTTTATACACATAACTTTGATTTGTGTAAATTATATGATTATTTTATATAAATTTTTGAAGACTTATTAGTCATGTTTATCTACAATTTAAAACATAAATTGCCCAAAAATAATGTGACATCCATACTAATAAAAAAAAATACATTAATTAGATCTTAATTAATACGAAGTCACAATCTAAAATATCGATCTAACAAAAATACACGAATTTCTTACAAAAATAATGAAGCATAAAACCCTAAAAAACACTAAAAGATTAAAAAAAAGAAAATTAAAAAAAAAGTTTAAACTCCTTTTAACTATTTGGTTGAATATATTTAGAAATTATGTATAAAAAAGTTATGCATCTTCAAAGTTTAGGACTAGAAAGTAAAAAAACCTTGATTACATTTATCTTAGCCTAAGCATGTTAGCATTCTTATATTAACATAAATCACACTAGTCTTAAATGACTTGTATTTTTCCATTCAGTGAAAAAGCACAACCATTTTTATCGCAAACAAATTCATGTCAATGCATCAGTCACATAAAGCTAGTGCGACTTGTGCATAGATCATAAGTTGCTCCACTAATAGGTACTCGTACATAAGTCGAACGAAGGTGATACGATTTACGTATAAATTACATATTACTTCACTTTTAAGTGACTTATGCAATAAAAAATTAGCCATATTTCATTATTTTACAGAAAAAAGATATATTTAAAGTTTTTTATTTATTTTATTTTATATAAAAAATTCTAATAAATTAAGACCTAAAATATTATTAACAATTAAAATAATTTAGAAATATTATTAATTATGTTTTAATTGTCTCTATTCTAACAGTATTAACATAACTAAAGAAAATAATATAGATGTTCAAATTAAATTAACAATGTAATTGATAATATTATTGAAATTTTTTTTTACTTATAATATTACTTAATTGATAATATTAATATAATCTTTAAATTCTTTAAATTTTGTTGAATCTTGTAGCCATTATTTGTCACTAAAAAAACCATTAATTATTTTTATAAAATGGTTTAAATTTTAAATATTTTCCATTCACTAAAATGTTATCAGATTTCTTAAAGTATACGCTTATAAAATATTATAATTACAAAATATAAACAAACTTGTGAATGCAGCAACATTGTCTCTAATTTGACATAAAATTATGTTTTTTTAAATTAAATGTTTGTCATTAAAAAATAATAAATAATTTTTTACAAATTGTGCAATTTAGCGGGTAAACATAGTAACACTTGTTATGTGTGTAAAAAATCTTTCTGCATTGTGCATATATTATTGTATTAAATTTTATTATTTAAATAATTAAAATTTAATACTGAATATTACATATAATTATAATAAATATTAAATAGTATTTGGGATAATATGGTTTAATAATTACTTTTCATTTATTTATTATTATATATTATTTTTAAAAATGATTAAAATTATCAATAATGTTGTTAAAAATCATTTTGATTAGGGTATCAATCCACGTCATTGAAGCGACTCCTCGTAATAATACGGTAACAGTAACATGTCCGGAAAAGTCTGAGAATGGATAAGACTGACATATTTATTGGTTTGGAGATAATATTATTACAAATATATAAAAAATATATATACAACATTAAAGAAAATATGAATAATTTAATATTTAATAAATCAAATTAATCATCATATGTAATAAATAAGGTGTTGAAATTCTGTATTTAGTTTTTGATATCTTAAAACTACTTTATATTTTTATATTAATTCTTTTTCTTAGATTTCAGCTGCTATGTTCTTCAGAGACAGATTCAAAATATTTTTTTAAAGAATTTTTATCCATGTCACTTTACCTTTTTAGAGTTCATATTTCAAACTTTTTAAATCAATGTTGTAGATTTTAGTGATTTCAACGAACAGCAAGAAAAAGTTTGACAAAATAAAAGTGTACACAGGTTTATCTTTTTCTAAGATTGCAAACTCTATATCGTTTTATATTAAAATATTGTTTTTGCCCTTTCTTGGTTTCTATTCAACTGTTGCAAGTTGGTCCACTTTGTGTCTGTGGGAGAATGTCGCAAAATTCCTGAGTACTAACTTTGCGTGAAATTGTAAAAATTCTTTTTGGATAACAGAATCTTACTTTATTTTTAGGAAGAAATGCGAAAGTTGGATTCAACTTGCAAAGTCATTTCATGCACATTCTTCAGTTAGATATAGTATATATGCTCAGATTTAATCATTTAGAAGAATATTTTGCAAACTTCTTTCTTTAGCTTTAGAATATAATAATTATTTCTGGTCTTTGGCGATAGTGATTGCATTATGTGTATCTAAAGGCTAGTCGTTTTGCTACAATAGCTCGAAGTTTTTTATTAAATAAATTATATAAATTCATTAATATTTGTTTATAAATAGTGAATCATCAAGATATTACCTGAACTTTACCTGATATTGTTTTCTATTCTAGAAAAAAAAAAATATTTTGCACTAAATTCTGAAGAACTAATTAAAACTTAAACAAATTATGCACCGAAATATTTAACTAAAAGAATTTGAAGCTAAGTATACATCTTATTTAAAAAAGAAATAGGAAATGAGTAAAGCATCAATTAGGATCAATCGATAATTTTAACTTTAAGAATTAATTAATTGATTATTGTCATAGTTAAAAATTAATTAAATTTATTTTTATACATTAATTTCTATATTAAGTGACTGTTAATTAATTTGAAGAATTAAATTTATGTTTTAGTAGGAAAAAAAATCAAGTAAAAAAAAAGAGCAAAAATTCTACACTACATGGAAGAAAGAGTAAAATACACTCCCTGCAAGAAGATACAAATGCGTAAAATATTCTATTTAACTTTACATAATTAAAATTTTCTTTAAACTAATTTTTAATTCATTATATATACATTGTATGTATATATAATCTAATTTTCTTTAAATTAATTTATTTTATATCCATAATCTAATTTTCACTTATATACCCTAATTTAAAAAAAAAAAAAAACCTTCTATCTATCCTTTTATTTGAATGTGTTAAAGTCATAAATTGTGTACATCTTTTACGTTTTCACCAAAGGTATGCATTTTTTTTTTAAATTTTACTTTCATTATTTGTTGTTAAGACAAATATTTAAAATTCTTATAATAATAAAAAGGGGTTACTATTTCACCAAAAACATATTAAGTTTATTGAACAAATGTTTAATGATATACTAATGAAAAAAATTAAAATAGATTAAATTGTGATATATTTTAATTTTTAACAGAAAAGACTATAAGATTTTAAAATGAAAAAAAGAATGTGATATATACATAAGAGAGGAAATGCAATTTATTAAAAAATAATAATAACCAGGTCAAAGTCGTTATTCAATTAAATAAGAAACATGATATACAAGTAGCATATTCCATAAACTTACATGTATATGAAGGTAAATACCAAGAAAGCCACCTAATTAATCTTAAAAAGTTGCTAATTAACCTGAAATAAGAAAGCACTATATATGTATTCTGCTATTTTGTTCTCATGAGTTGAGCTAATATACATATTTCTCACGAAGAATAAATATGGACACCTTTTGTTTGTAGCTCACACTATCACAAAGGAAAAATACCACTGAGCAATGAGCGTCTCAATTCTTAGAACCAGAACCGTGAGGTTGGTGCAGCTGCTGATACATTGCAGCAATCCTACTGTAGGCATCCATCGTCATTGGCTGCAAACAATTACACTGTTATATAGATCTAAACAATAATCGGTCTTCTTTCTATACAAAATCATGAGAAAAATAACGCACCTATTTACACAATACATTAGTTACTAACTAATTAAAAGACATATAAATAAGAAAATAATAAGTTTAAATCATCTAAAATATTTTAAATAAATAGATCATTTAAACTTAAAGTTTCTCTCCTTCAATCTTAGATTATACGACATGACCTTAATTTAATAATGTACCCGTTAGAAAAATTGATTAATAAAAAGTAATTCATATAAAAAACACTTAAAGTATAGGTCAAGCTTATAAGTTTAAATTCATACTTAGAAAAAGACAACGAATATAAACTCAACAAACAACACACTGAAACTTAAAATTTCTCTCTATATCAGATCTCCTTCAAAATCCTGTTACGAGTGATGTAGACAATTTAAATCTTAAATTTTGAGGAATTTCTTTGGGACCTCACTATCCTTTATTCGGTCACAACTTCGGAGAGTGATAGGGTATATAAGGTAGATACAAATATTAATTAATTGACTTTCTCACCGTCCAAACAAACCAAAGCACAGTATTAATGCTGCATTGAATTCTATTTAACTTATTTCTAAAACATTATCGTTTGTAACTCTCAAATTCATTACCCAGTCAATTCAGCAAAAATAGGTTGCTTTCAATCATTTAATATACGGGATTAAAACAAGCCAAATAATAAGGAATGTTCAGATGAGTGTGTATTGTGACTCTGTGATAACTATCATCACTTTTATATATAAAATATTTTAATTATTAATATGTTCATATGAAAAAATTGATATTTTAAACAAAAATTATTTAAATAAAAATAATTATATATACTTAAAAATAACAATAACCACAAAAAAAAAAAAAAAAAACTAGAGGAAAAGGGGGAGGATGAAAGATTTTCCTGAGCCGGGAAGTGAGGAGAGAGAAGCATGGCTTATAAGAGTTTCTTTTATTAAATTATTAAATAATATTTATATTATAAAAATAAAAGTATTTTTAGTAAGAAAGTATGATAATAAAAATTCAATTTTTTAGAATAAATTAAACTTTTATAATTATTTTTAATATCATCTAAATTTTTTTAACTTTCTTTTTAATAATCTAAATGAATGAAGAATTTTTTTTCTTTTCTTTGTATTTCAATACATCATAACAATAAATATTTTATATTGGATCATTTTTTTATATATACAGTTTTTAGAAATAATATATCCAAAAGTATCGATTTTAAAAAATTTTAATAACGATTTTTAGTGTAAGTATGTAAATTTAGAGATGAGATAAAAATAAATAAATAAATTGTAAAGTATAAAAAATTGCTTAAAAAATTTTAAAAATCAAGTTATTAATGAGGGTTTTCAAAATAATAATAAAATATTTTAAAATTATGCTATTGGTGATTTTAAAAAATTTCATATTTATGTAATTTAATGAAAATAATTCATATTTTTGTCATTTAAAAAGATCATAAAAAAACATTTTATATTCTATTCTGTTCTTTTCATTTCTTTTCTGTCTGTATCCCTAGTTTAAACACATCACAGGTGTCGGAGCAAACATTTAATATTATATTATATAATATTTTTCATTTCTGAATTCTTCATAAATGTTATTGTTTACTCGTTAACATTTAACTAGATATGTATGACACTATTTGCTCACCTGTGATTGGCATCCAAAAAAAGTGGACAAAGGGTCAGGCATCACAGTGGCCGGAGTCCCTTGAAGTCGGTCGCCGGCGGCGGCATCCCATGCAGGCATAGGCATGAAGGCAGAAGGGTGGAGGACGGGAGGGATGCCAGGGATGTTTGCACGATTCAGGGAGTTCATATCCATCCCCATTCCCATCCCCATCCCCATCCCCATCCCTATCCCCATTGGAGACATCATTGACATTTGAAGCTGTTGTTGCATGGTCAATGGCAGTATCATGGATGACATGTTGATTCTATTCATCATCTGCACTTGTGCTTGCAACTGTTTCAGATATTCTATCACCTCATCCAACATTGAAGCTTTATCTGTCTGTAACAGAATATTATAATTAAAGTATATATATTATTTCATATGTATGAAATCCATAAATATTAAACTTATCATGAATATACAAGTCCAATGTATATGAAATTACATGTAGCAAATCCATATAAAAGCAATTAATTCTACCATGAAATCGATTTTTCTACAGCAATCGGCTTAATTTTGGTTACTAATTTCATAAATAAGCTCTACTCAACTTGATCTTGCCATTCATTATTATTATTATTATTATTATTATTATTATTATTATTTTATCTTGTCTATCCTTGTGGGTTCTTTTTCTTTCGTCTTTATCTTTATCCCCTCTGTATTTGTACTTTTATGTTTTGGCGAAAATGTTAAATGTCTTGGTGTTTATGGCGTAATTGACATCTTGGCCTACCACTGGAAAGGGTTTCTGTGGGAGCAGTTGGGTGTCTCTTCACCAAACAGCCTTCAGCCAAAGTATGACAATAAGTGATTGGACTTTGTGATTGTGAGGACTTTATGGCTGAAAACACTACCCTCAGAACTCCCTTAGCCATCACCACATTTATCCCCCATTGCCCCGAGGATCTAAACAGATTATAATCTTTACGTTAATAATATTTATAAATTCAAATAATATTAGTCTTTTCCCAATCTTAGGCCATATGTAAAAGGATAAGGGAGTATAATAACATATAAAGAATTTTACATGAAACAAACAAGTATAATAAATGGTATGAAAAAAGGATATCAAAAATTGAGCCAACAATTATATATATAATTTTAAGAAATATATAAGGAGAGGGACGAGGGCAAAATTAAGGATGTTGACGTGAAATTTTGTTTAAATAAATAATTTGCTATTTTATGTGAAAAACCAAAGAACATGAAAGCATAAACATGCGGAGGGAGATCTAGTGTGAACTGGGTTTTCTAGTGTCGAATCCTCGGGGGACCGCTACTTGAAGTCTACGAAAGTTAATGAGCGATAAAAAAAGATGTGACATCAGCATATAGATACTGTTTATCTCACTTAACTGATATGAATTGGGACCAATAGATACTAAATAATGGGCTCAGATACCACATATACAATATCTTGATTAGCTCAGAGGAAAAAAAAGAAAAACCCCACTAGTTGCAACTATTCTATATACCTTGCTGGAATTTGGGACCAACTTTTGCAATGTCTTCATTCTTTGGTTTATCTTATCCCTCCTTTTCTGAAAAGCAAAATATGCATTGGACCAATGAACAACAAATTCTAGATTTTGTTGTAAAATTTCATCATAGCAATTAGTAAGATTGATTCAACGCTCACCCTTTCAGATTGGTTGTGTATAGCTGCGGCTCTACTCCTTTTAGTGGAAACCGAAGATTTTTCATTTCCTTTCTTTTTCTTTTCTTCATCCCCATCTTCCCTCTGCAAATTTTGCAGAAGATATATAATCACATATCATAAAATTGAAACCAAAATTAGTTAATTCAAAAAATAAAACAAATCTTACGTTTATCTTTCAAAATAAAAGATTCTGATAACTCCAATCTTTAGGACAAATTTTAAGTATATAAAAATAATACTTTTATGTTTTCAATGTAATAAGTATCTTTTTAATAAAAAAATTTCAATTTGAGTTGTTTAACTTTAATCTTAAAAATTACAATTAAAAATTTTTGAAAACTAATTATCATGTTAGTATTTTTAAAAATATTGACCAAATTTGTTTTTTTGCTATTATCACCAAAGAGTTTTTAAAGACTTAAAATGTTACTGTATTGATTTTTAAAAATTTTATTACTAAAGTAATCTTTCAAAATTGTAACAAATTACTATATTAAATTTTATAGAGGATTAAAACTATAACATTTTAAGAATATATTTTTAAAAGAATATTGATGACTAAATTTTTTAAAATATCAATAATATTATACGGTGTATAATTATAAAAATAAACTTAAACATTGTATACATATATATGTAAAATATTTCCATTACATTTATACGTGTACGTGGCAATAATATTACTCTGCTAGAGGTTACAGTAGATCGTGCAGAAGAGCTACAGTTACAGATAGAATTGTGATGATATGAATAGAGGTATAGAAACTCAGAAGTGAAATTGAAGGCAAGAAACCGAAGTTTAAAAGCACTATAAAATATTAGTAACAAAGAAATATAATAAACTTACCACGGGCTTGCTATGGGAAACAGAATCGTGTTCGTCAACAGTGGTGGTCTTGGTGCACTGCTTAGCGGAACTGGTGTTTTCGAGCGACCCAATGGAAGTGGAAGTGAAACCCATGTCAAATTCCCTGTCACACGTGTCAAGCGTCACGTGCTTACTATCCCTCCCAAAGGTGGCACTGCCACTCACACTCTGATCCCTCCCACTCATCTCGTGCCCACCCACCGGCACGTGTGCAACCTTGGCGCGCTTCGCGGCAGCAAGGACCGCGCCTTCCCCATGGTTACCACAGCACGACCCCACACGTGTGGAGCAATCCACCATGCACGTTCCAACCCCTCTGGGGTTGGAGTCCATGGCATGGTTGCTCTGCTCCTCCGAACGGTTCGAGCAGGGCACCAATGCGTCCATAGTCATGGTATTGTTGGACGCGGCGGCGGCGGCTGCTGTTGCGCGGCGAGGGTCGAACCATGGGACTAACAAATTCCCGTAACCCCCTTCGGTGTTAGCACCGGCGGCGCTACCATCTTTACCCCTCTCGGGTAAGCTAGTGGCTTGGTTCACTATGGATTCTAAGGTGCCACTTGCACGAGGCTTTTCCCAGGTGTACTTATTATTGGTCGTCGTGGATGGTTTCAACGGCACTCGCGGTAACCCTAAGCCATGCATAGATAGCTGTCCATTTTCCCATGTAAGTTCAGCAACATCGTAGTCTAACCTGAACTCATTAAATGACACAAAATTAACGCATGTAGATAGAGAGGGAAAGAGAAAAAAAAGAAAGGCATGGAGAGCACTGACATGGGGACATCAGGGGCAGTTGAATTGGAGTTGGAACGAAGAGAAACTCTTGGGGGTGGTGGGTTGTCGTCGACATCCCAGCTGGGAACACACTGGCTCATTTTTCAAGGAAGAACTGAGGAGGGTTCTCTCGTCGAACCGTGTTGTGCTATGGTCACAGAGAAAGAGAAAGAGAAAGAGTGAGAGATTGAGAGATTGAGTATTGTTGAGTGATATTGATACGACGTGATTCAGTGTTGGTGCGTGTGACCCCGCTGTATTTCAGGGCAATGAGAGAAACAAGCTTGTGGATTTGATTTCACTACGCTAAAAGAGAGAATCTAGTCCATATGAATTGGAGAGAGAAGGTGGGGAAGCTTTGTGCGGAGTAGTCAGTTCTGTTTAATTTGTCGTATTGCCTATCCTTCCTCTGTTAATTAGCTTCGGCCCACAAAATAGAAAGTAACTTATAATGTCTATCTATAGCTTCTCCACAGTTTCACTCCAATTCCACCATAAGTTTCCATACACGGCCGCAGAATATTTTTGAGTCAATCATTTCAAATATTAAATTTAGGTGAAGGTTATTAAATTTAGGAGAAGGTTACCGTGAATTAACAACATAAGTAATTTATAAATAAGTTAGTAAGATGATTTGTTATATCATATTTTAATAATTTGAATATTTAAAATTTAATTTTTATTAAATTTTGTATATAAAAAATTTTAATCTCTTAAATATTTAAAATATGTCATTTTTTAACCTAATTTTTTTTAAAGTTAAGAAAGAATATAATTGTTTATTTATGTGAAATCATATTATATTTTTTTAAACTAACTCTCATTTATTTTTAAAGATGTTCAAGATTTTTTGTGTGTTTATAGTGTAAAATTTAATGATAAATTGAATAATTAAGGTTGAATTTTACTAGATAAAAGTTTAAAAAGAGAAATTCAAGGCAAAAGATCTAATAAAATAACGTAATCTTCATTTAGAATCTTATTGTAGAAGTTTTGTTGAATTTCTTTTTTTTTCTATTTCAATTTCTTCTTATTTCCTCTCCTTAATAGTATACAAACTCGTTTCTGGTATCTACCTAAACCCTAAACCCACATAACTATTTTTCCTTTGAATTATTATACTTTCAAATGTAAGGTTTTCTATTTGAAAACATCATATACTCATTCCAATTATCTAAAAAAATAATCATTTTGGTTTGTTCAAAATAGAAGTAATGACTAAAGATATTTTGTTGAACTAGACAAAACGTAGAGAATTCATTTCGCTGTAATTTTTGCTTAAGCCAAAGTTATCCACTTAAGCAAAATTTATACATAAATGAATCTATATTTTTTTGTCAAATTTGCATAAGCTATCACATATTCGTTTAAGCGAATCAAAGATAGAGATGATTTTGAATTTTTCATCAAAGCTCTTAAGCGAATCAAAGACATATATAAATCTAACACACATTCGCTTAAGCTAATATTAATCGTTTAAGTCGTTATTCTGCTTAATTTCAAGGCTTAAGCGAATTACTTGTAGTGAGTTTTGTTTTTTGATAATTTTCATTTAAGCAAAAAAACTTGACTTAAGCGAATGTTGTAGAATTTATGCAATGCAAAAACAACCCTTACACAGGGAGAACATGCAAAAGATCTAAAAGGGCATTGATTAATATATCAATACAAAACCTCATTTTATAATGAATTAAGACCGTAAGAGTGAATGTAAAAGTTTTAATTTTAAAAATTATTAACTTCATAAATAGGGTTTGTGGAGAATTCTAAAGATCTAGCATAATATTTAACGTTCTATCGATTCAAAAGTTGTTTCATTATGTATTCAAATTGCATTTGAATGCATACTTTCTTAAAATAAGTTTAGAAAATCCAGGAAATACAAAGGTGAAGAAAAAAAAAATACAATGTACAAAGTTTTGAATACAAAGACAGTAATAAATTTTACAGCTACAAAATAAAAGGTTTTGAAAGTTCAAAGAAAAGTTTTAAAATTTTTTATAAATGATTAAATGATAAATATGTATAAACTTATATTATTAAGTTGTAGGTAAAAGATTTGAACATTTTACAAATTTTAAAATACATCTAATAGTTTAAGATTATCACTCATTCATGAATCACTTACCTTACTAACTCATGCTAATCTCCACCTTAAATTTAACTCTATAGTTATGAACAAATATATTTTTTATGAAAATAATTTTCTTGTAAAATAAAATAATAAATAACACCCATATATTACCCATGTCTCTATATTGTGATTGTAATATTAAATTTATGATAAAAAAATTTTAAAAAGTGCACGACAGTGGGTATATATTAAATATGCTAAAAAAATATAAGTTTCATTAATTTATTGTTTATTGTATATAACATTATTAGTGGAGTGTATATGCATAAATAACATACATATTAAGAATAACTTTTGATATTTCAATGTATATATATTAGATAAGATAAAATAAATAAAATAATTCATTCTTAAAAATTTATATTATTATTTTATTTATGGGTGATGATTTAATTTTTTATTATTGAAGGTCTTTTAATGATGGTTGATAATATAATATAGTTATCGTGTCATATTTAACATTTATAATTTTTAATAAAATTTAATATTTATTAAATTTTGTGTCGTGTATCTTTGAGCATCTATTAAAAAACTGAAGTTATTATCATTATACAGTATATTTTTATAATATTATTTCTTTTATATTTCTCTATCATATAATCTATTAATCATCTTGTATTGCACTTTTATTTTTATTTTTTTGGTACATTGGATAAAAGAATAAAATAAATTAAAACAAAAATAAATAAATAATAAAAACACTGAATACGGACATATTTAGCTTTTATGCATGGTTAGGCCAAAATTAGCAAATAATCTATTACTGTATTTGCTTTTCAACGGTAACACGAAAAATTAAATCATTAAATCACTTGATAAATCTTTTAATATCTGGTGACAAATTAAAAACATATAATTTAAATGTGTTGAAAGCAGTTGTTGCATAACTTCTGCACAATTTGAGTCTGATTTCACTGTAATATAATTAAAGGTTGTTCTATATGTGAACAGATGTAATTAATTATTTAATTGTAATTAGTTAATTAGTTAGTTAATGGTTACTAGTTAGTAAGAGCTTATTTTTTTAAATAAAAAAGGTACTATTAAGGAGCTGTTTTCAGAATTTCAAAGTTGCATGAATAAATTTATTCATTGAAACATGAAGTTTCATCAATTATTGCATATTTTACTTAGCTAAAGAGTTTGAGAATTTTTGACCTATTCCCAAATACAAAGGTCAAGTATTAATGCAATTTGATTCTTACAATTAAGAAATATCGTGAAGGAGATTAACATAATACCATCACTGTTACTTTATAATCAATCATTATATTAAGTCTTATACAATGAATCACCTAACATATCACACCTAAAAGTCTTTGGATGTTTATATTTTGTAACTTCATTGACATCTCATAAAAAAAAAAATTATCTCATAAAAAAAAAATAGATAGTAAAGTAAGAAGATGTGTTTTCTTAAGTTTTAAATTTGAGATCAAAGAATATATATTGTATGATTTGAAAACTCATACAGTTTTTCTATCTAGACATGTTCGGTTTTATGAGCATGCTTTTTCTAAACTTCAAAACAATGTTCTTAATGGTTATGTATTTAATTCCCATTGATTACATAACTTTTTTTTTTTTTTATGAGTTCCTTTCACTAACATCACATCAAACATTCTTCATGAAACTTTCTCCCCATACTCAACAACCTCCCATAGAAACTGAAATTTATCAAAAATCATAACAATCAAGAAAGGGAAACATAAGATCCCAATCCACTATTAAGAAATTCTCAAAGAGAGAGGAGACCTCTTAATTACCTAAGGTACTATCATTGCGCATTAGCTACCTCAACTGCATTTTCATCTTGAAATATTGTTGGGTGTCCTTTTTTTCATTAACTCTCTTATAAATCTTTATCATCTTCACATAAACATTACTTTTTAAACCTCACTTTCACTAATGAACATTAATCTTACCAAGAGGCCATCATACATGATTGCTAGAAAAGTGCTATCGAAGATGAATTATAGGCCTTGATTAAAAATTAGACTTGGATTCTTACTACTCTTCTTGATGGGAAGAGACTTATTGGATGCAAATGGATCTTCAAAGTAGAGCACAAGACAAATGGTTCTATTGAGAGACACAAATCTAGTCTAGTAGCAAAAGGATACACAAGCAACTGACATTGATTTCTAGTGGTAAAATTGACAACCATCAAAGTATTATTGTCTCTTGTTGTTGTTCACCAATGGTATCTACATTAACTTGATGTGAACACGACTATATTTTAAGGTGATTGATGAACGATGCTTTCTTATGTTGTGTTTAAAAGATTTGTTGCAAATCCTCATCAAAATTTAAACAAATTAATGTAGTACTAGGGTTACCCTAGATTGTCTCCCGTGAACATTGGCTATAAACAAGGGGCCCTGCATGAAGTCTTCATTCTTCACACTTCTCAAAGGTTCTAGAGAGACCCAAAGTCATATACTACCATTTTCTCTCATCCTAAACCTCCTAAATTTAGATTTCTCTTCAGATCTAGGATCGTATGTTCATTCTAAGTGATTCAAAGTAAGTTTCTCTAAGTTTGAATCTAGATTTAATGTTCATTTCTCTTAATCTCAAATTTCTTATAGGTATCTTATGGTTTTTTAGGATCAACTTTGATTTTAGAGCAAAATCTTCGGTTAAATCTTTGAGAAATCCTTATCTTAAGATAATGGGGCTCTACTTTATCATTTTGTTATGTTTATTTCTTGTATTCTCATAGATCTTGCCATATATGTGATTATATGTGGAATAATCCTTGTTTTATGAAAAATAACCAATGAAAAGTGAGAATAATTGGTTTATGTGATTTTATGATGAATATATGATGAAAATGTGTTATTATGTTCAAACAGTGCATGATAAGGTATATTGGGGATAGTTGATATGATTTTGTGATATGAAATATACAAAGAGATGGATGCTTCATGTTTGAATATATTGTGGTTTATGTAAAAAAATGATGTGTATTGTGAATATGTCATGGTTTGATGTATATAATGAATGGTATGTGGAAATATAATGAAAAATATGTGTGAACATGAGAAATGACATATGTAAACATGTGAATATACTCAAAAAGAGTATGAGACGGAAATGGGTATGATGTAAATAGTTATAGAGATACACTGGGGGGTGGAAGATGGAGACAATATGAGATATCTTGGGGGAAATGTAGGGTGGTGAGTGACATTTGGGGTTTTGCATGGAATATTGTATACAAATGCACCATATGGCCGCATACTTGTTTCCTAACTTGACTCCTGACCATTACCTTTGCT